GTAGGGGAGGGTGGGGCAGAACGGTCACGGCGAGTGAATTGGTCACTCGAATTATGAAAAAACGAAAATTCTTTTTGATATAAATCTTTCTGATTTATAATTTGTAATGTCGACCCTTTTTTCCTCCACAAAAATATTCTTGAAAAAAGAACTTATGATATTATAATTAAGACTTGAAAATTGAAGTATAAAAACACGGTGCGGCACAGTTTTTTAGTCATCCAGCAAATAAAATGAATGTATCCTGTAAATTTCAACCAAAGATAAAATGAAAGTTTAAATCATCAGCTTTAATGTTCTTTTTGAATATTTTAAATTAGATGTCTTAATAATAAGTTATAATTAAAACAAAAAATTTTTTAAGTGGGGCAGCATGGACACATGCGAGAGGGCAGGATGGTCACGACTGATGCGCCGCGTCGTCGGTACCTGTCAATTTTTTCGTCTGCTAGTCAAAAAAATGCACGAGTGCGAAAGCCTGCTAGTTCCAGCGCTTTTCCCATGACCATAATGCCTCACACCTGTGACCATCGTGCCCTACAGGTGAGGCACAATGGTCATTTTTTTACATTATTTTTTATGATCTGTATAAGAATTATACGTACAATTAATATTCAAAAACAATTTCGCATCGTTTTATTGGGACTGTCAACTACAAGATTCCATATTTATCAATTGCATATTTATTAATTTTGTTGTTTTTAATATTCAGAGTCGGAAAAGGTGACCGTTCTGCCCCACTCTCCCTACATACATTTATTATGATAAAAATAATATTACAATGAATATGGATAATTTTTAATGTACCGACAGTTATATTAAAAATGCATACCACAAGAAAAAAAACTGCTCTGCGCACTATAGTACGTCGTAAACACCTACTGGATACATCTATTTTTCATAGCTACAGTTGGTAAGGGAAAAAACCGTACCACCGTCACTAAATACTTGTACTGATATCTTAAAACCTATATACTTGGCACGAAATTTAAGACCACTTAAGGTGACACTAAAAATTCTTGTGTTAGTAAGCAACAAATATAACGTTGGTGTAGTATTTCTTACGATCAAATATTGTAGTAGAGGATTGT